GTGGGGAAAGAAGGCTTCCGACATCTGCCCCCTATGCCGAGTCTCAAGTCAAACTCTCTCCCACGTCCTCAACAACTGTCCCATGGCTATGGAGCTTCGGCGATAATTATATAGCCATAGGCATGACGCAGTCCTCCAGGTCATCGGTGACTTCATCAAGACCCACCTGCCTCCTCAGTTCTCCATCTCCATTGACTCCCCCTCAGAGGTCTACAGCTTCCCGCAGCACATCACCCCCACTAATCTTCGACCGGACATCGTGTGGTGGAGTAACCAGCGTAGGGAGCTATGCCTGTTGGAGCTCACTGTGAGCTACGAGTCTGGAGTGGCTGATGCGAGAGCTAGGAAGGCAGCGAAGTACCATGACCTGGTGGAGGCTGGGAAAGCGGCTGGCTACCGGGTAAAGCTCTTCAATGTGGTGGTTGGCTCTCGAGGGATGTTGGGCGACGCAGACTTCGACCTGCTATGTGAGGCTACAGATGCACCAAGAAAGGAGTGCACTTCCGCGTGTCTCCTGATCACGAGAACGACCATTCTAGGTTCCTTTTACATCTGGGGCTCTAGGACCTGACTCACCTGACTTCATCAATTAGCTTCTGTGTGTATATATGTATGCTAGTACTAGTGAGGCCAGGTCAATGCGCGGCACATTCGTCATGTGCCTAGAGCTCTGCCTGGGTACACCTCACACCTCATTGTTTGTTTGTTTGTATATGCAAAACAATGAACAGTTTTACACACATGAGAGAGAGAGAGAGAGAGAGAGAGAGAGGGTAAAAATCCCGGCCTGTAATTGTAGTAAAAACCACGTGCATGCTCAGCCGCCCACACAATTATTGGTACTCCACTTGTTGGTACTCCGTGTTGTGGAAGATGCCAGCAGGTGTGACCCAAGGCAGGTGTATATGTGTATCTTGTCTAATCTTGTCACAACAAGGTGTAGGTAAACTTTCTGTGCACGCGGCCCAATCCACCATTCTGAATTCGGGTTTTGGTTCGGTACAGGCAACGCCTTGTGGGGATGAATCTCATTAGTTCAGAACCACAAGCGCTGCACCTGAGCAAAGCCTTGTGGGGATGAATCTCATTAGTTCAAAACCACATGTGCTGCGCTCAACTTTGCCTTTATAAACTCGTGATGCCAGAGAGGGGTATGCTTTGCTGATGAGGGCCAACAAGCCCGAAACAGCTGTCCAGAGCTCCCATCTTTTTTCTCTTGGCATCATTATGGTCTTTTGTTACATGCATACTACCTTCCTTGGTACTCCGTGTTGTGGTTGTAAGAAGATGCCAGCAGGTGTGACCCAAGGCAGGTGTATATGTGTATCTTGTCTAATCTTGTCACAACAAGGCAGTAACGGTGTAGGTAAACTTTCTGTGCATGCATACTACCTTCCTTGGTACTCCGTGTTGTAGTTGTAAGAAGGTGACCCAAGGCAGGTGTATATGTGTATCTTGTCACAACAAGGCAGTAACGGTGTAGGTAAACTTTTTCTACCGTCACAACCTAAAATATGAATTAGAAAAACGGACAAACTGAACTATAGCATGACAAACTAATAGCTTAGCAAGACAAACGACAGGACTGCGGATACCAGACTCCGTTAGATGGGAGTGGGCCAGCCCCAGTGGTAGTGAGGCACAGGTCGGGAGATTAAAGGGACCGAAACCTGTGACCTACACGATGATCTGCTGAGGAGCTCCCCTCATGACTGGTGCATTAGATAGATGACAGACACACAAGACAGAGAGACAGGGTTTGCTAGCGTTATGTTTGGGGATAGGTAGTGGGCACATGTATAATAATAGTATGTGGAAGCACACTGTGGTTTGTAACTCCCAGAACAAAATACACCATGTGATGCCAAGAGAAAGATGCCCAGCTCTTTCAGGCTTGTTAGCCCTCATCAGCAGAGCATACCACAACTTCTCTCTCTGGCACCACGAGTTAATAAAGGCTAAGTTGAGCGCAGCACTTGTGGTTCTGAACTAATGAGATTCATCCCCACAAGGCTTTGCCAGTATATACCGAGCCAAAACCCCATGCACAGCCTGAGTGTATGTCTGGTGGTCCGGTGCTTTGATGGCGCCGACAAGTCCCGGTCTCTGTCACTACACCTCATTCCCCACAACTCTCCCCCTCCTTTCTCTTCTTAACCCATACCAAACACACACGTGCTTGCACGGAAGGGCTAGGGCGGAACCAGGTGGTGTGGTCCATGGAGCTGGTTGGGGGTGTATCCCAGCCGTCTACCCAGTGGCGACAAGCTCTTCGGAGTGGGGCTGCAGTCTCGCTAAGGACCATCAGTTACAGCCTAAAGCACACACCCCTACAAACCGCAGCTGTTTCCTCATCTAGGTAGCACATATCTACATAAACACACATTTGCGGTTAGTCAGTACAACAATAGCACAGCTAAAGCGCTCGTGATTTATAGTGAATTTAGGTATAGAGTATATAGCTCATCAATTATCGGACACCATCACCCGGACACAGCCATTTCTCTCGGACCGGACAGAGTTAGCTATCCTCGCTACGTGCAGTATCTCAGAGGGTGTCACTCAACAGGCATGCACAGTACCAGCTTCGGCAGAGGGATAGTAACGCTACGGCGGCACAAAGATCGCTCACCGTCCGAACCACCGTCAGTCGGAATATGGCCCCTATGTTCGGACAGTGCTTGATATTAAAGCTAAAGAGACAACGGAGACAACGGAGACAACGTTATGTACCGAGGCGTGACCGGGTGGCAAAGGTCAACGTGAAACGTAATGCTCAAAACTTGGCCACGCCTATTTTTCGGGATGGCTCTAATACGCATGCGCGTGCAGCAGGAGGCAGAAGGAACGCCATTGCGCATAATAGAGACCGACCGTTCGCTCCTGGGTGAGTCGCGCATGGGTTTTATCTCCCATAGAGAATGTATGGAGGAGGAATATGAATATGCTAATGAGTTTGGAAAACAAGTTAGGAAAAATCCGAGAAGTATGCCTAAATTCACCATAAATCACTAGCGTTTTTGCTGTGCCATTAAAAAATATATCTGAAACATACGCCCACGCACAATTCTCCGGAACCTTCCCACTCACTCTCATGCACACAGAATATAATATATACTCACAAAATTTGAATGATACCAAACAACTACTTAGCTACACACTTAAACTCAATGGAGGCCAGGGCCAGACCCACGTCCAAGATGGACCTGGTCCTCCCCCACCTTCCGTGGCTTTTTTAATCACACACACACAGAGAGAGAGAGAGAGAGAGAGAGAGAGAGAGAGAGGGTAGAAAATCCCAATCCCGCAGGGCTATAGAGCAGGGCGATAGAAACAGAAGCCTGGGCTGTTTACCACAAGCTATGTTGTTTATGTATGTCTCGATCATTTCGTGGGAAATGGCAGGGCTGTAGAGAAAACCACCAATATAGACGAACTGTGTGTAGTTCTGTAATCTGAAGTATACAGTAATGGAATTGTCGCGACAGTTAGATAAAACAAACAATTTAAACTCCCTCACTGGCGCAGCACCTTCTTTTACTCTCCTGTTGGGATAAGCAGCTATGTTTTTTTATTCATTCCCCACTGCCGTACATAATATGTTATCTTGGCAGGGATAATTGCGTTTGGCATGGACTCAGATTATCCTCTCCCATCACTACTTTCAGACAGAGAGACTCCTTGGTGTACAAGCAGTTTGACAGACCGAGGGAGTATATAATTATATATAATTATAAAAATCGTTGTTGTTTATGTGTGTATTAGTATATATTATTATGATTCACAATCATTCTGTTGCTAGTAGAACCAGCTATATATTATAGTGCACAAACTTACAGGGTCCGTTTCTTACGGGTAGCTATATAATATATAGCTGTAATATTCTGCCTAAAAGTCTTCAGGAGCTAATACAGCAGTAGCTGTACTCCACCGCGCCTGAATTTACAGGACCGGTTCCTTACGCCTAGGTGTAGCTATATAGCTCTCCACAATTACCTGGTGAATCACTTTGGCAGTGATTGTGAAATTTAGAGGGGCCGTCGCGTGAGTTTAGACGTGGCAATTTGCCATGGCTTCGTCTCTCCCACTCTCTCCCACTCAGAGTGGCTGACACCTGCGCAAGATAGAGTCCTAGCTACTAGCTTGATCGAAAGTCCGCCCAAACGAAGTGTTTTCTTGTGCAGAAACGTGATCTTTGATGCCTCGAAAGGACTCGTGGCAACAGCGGTCGTGATAACAAGAAACGTGCTCTATGATGCGGTTTAGCTACGGAGAAGACACGTGATCGTAGAGGGTCTCTCTTTGTAAACAAGGAACATGATGGTTGGTACGGTTTCAGATTTTACGGAGAAGAAATTCGATGCGTTGGAGGTGCTACATAGGAAGCATGAACTTGATATGGTTGCTTCACGCTAAAAAGTTGAGCTATGGGTGTCCGGGAACGTCGTACCGCGTGAGAGCGTGCACTTCTACTGATTATTTGCAATGCGCAGCGAGGGTTACAGTACTTGGTTTGTTCGTCTGTCCGTCTGTCTGTCCGTCTGTTACCACGTTTTCTGCCACCACGCGCAACAAACAGGTAAAATAGCGACACCAACGGGTTCAGTGCTACACTGCATGTCTTAATTTTAAAATTTGCGATTTTCGTAAAAGTGCCGCGTTCAGAAGTTATGGCGTGAAAACCAAGTGAACAAGCCAATATGCTAATTTGCACAGGCTTACTTCGACCGTCCGCTTGCTCTGTGTATCTTGAAGGCACATGAAGTCACAACGAAGGGCGTGTATCGACTTCCGCATGCTATCTACTACTGTAGCTAGACTCTCCGCGAGCTACTAGTGGAAGATCACGAGTAAACGCAGACTAATAGGCCCTGTCCATCAATTAGAGGTACTGCGCATGCGCAGTTCGCCGAGGGTTTGCACTTTCATCTTCGATACGGTAGCTGGACGCTATAAATTGAAGGCGAGAGCACGTCCGCACATTTCTCACAGCCCTTGCAAGCAGCCTTGAACGGAGGAAACTCTCACCCCCGACGGAAAATGCTGGTGGTCGCCCTCGTTGCTGCGGCACTTGTTGCCGCTTCAAATGCATGGCCTTCGGAAAACTTCAAACCTACTGAAGTATACCTGCAGGAAATCTTCAAACCTACCGAATACCTGCAGGGTGAGCATAACCTCTCACTTCATGCATGGCATGTGGTGCATTTTATTCTTATGAACAGAAGAGATGGACTACAAAGACAGTGATGCAAATGTTGGTCAAAACCCACCGTTCTCTCAAGGTAGCTATATAGCTACAGTGCAATCTTTCACAACTGATTTTTGTATGTACCAACTTCATTCTTACTAGAAAATATTACAAATGATGATAATAGCTAGCTAGTACACTGTTTTCAATTCTATTTTTGGTTTTTGGTGATCTTAAACTGACTGTGCCAACATTAAAGATAGGGCAGAGCATTGAAGTGGTATACATTAACCCTCAAACTGGAACTCTCTCCGTGAACCTGGTCACTGAAGCCGATGACGTTGCCCTACATTTCAATCCTCGCTATTCAACCACGGGTGGCTACCTTGTTCTCAACACCCTAATCCGCGGAAGGTGGCAGAGAGAAATTCATCCTGCTGGGTATCCATTTCCCGCTAATAATGCCAGGACAAGGGTAACCGTTCGCATCACCGTCCAAGCAAGTGGTTTTGTAATATCAGCTAATGGAATTGATATTACAACTTTCCACTACTGTGCTGGGCTAGGTTACGACACTGTTCGTCACATAACCTGGACCGCTCCAGCCAAGACCGTTCTGGAGTCGATGAAAGTCACATACTAAGTCTTAATGGACAGCCAACTGTAGATAGTTATGAAACAGTGCGTAGTCGCAGCGTAGTTGTAGGATAATGAGATTTTGCTTTGACTTTATTTTTGAACAGTCATGAAAGCAACAAGAAACTGTTCTGCAGGCGCAAAGAATGAATATTACCGTGTTCCATTGTTATGTAACACGGTTGTGGTGCATAATTCAAATGGCACATTGGAGGCTTAGACACGATTTCAAACGATCGGAGGACATTTCTTTACTGTTACAATGAAAAGCACTGAAGTGCAAACCCTCGGCGCATTGTGACGCGCACGCGTGAGTAAACGCATGCGCTGTATCACTAATCGATGGGCTGGGTTTAGTTTTAGCTGTTACTCGTGGTCTCTTGCCAGCTCGCTAGATAGTATGCGAGACTCGATACACGCCCTGCGTTGCATCTTCTGGTGCCTCGGAGGTTCGCAGAGCACGCGGATTGACCAGACCGTTAATTAAGCTGTCCCATCCGTCGTGTATTTGCATATTGGCCTTTTCGCGCTCTAGCTTTGCAACGGAGCAGTTTCAGAGAAAACCGCACACATTTTCTGACCTTCGTTGCCCGTTAAGTAGGTAGTGTACTTTGTGAGACGGCAAAACATTCGAGAAGTGAGATGTAGAGTAACAGACACGCAGACACACAGACCCAACTACTGTAACTCTCGCTGCGCATGCGCGCCGAGGGTTAACAAGACTAAGAGAGTAGAAAGAGTTCTTTCTTATTCCAGGTCACCTTTCTTTGTCATGCTGAAACTCAATGATCCAACGTTATAATATCAAGAAATCGTTGATGTTGATTACTGCGTCACATGGGTGTCTTGTGTGACAAGGTTTTGAGACAAACTGTAGCACAGGATTTCCACACAGGCCATGATTTCTCCATTCAATAACTGTTGTACAGTTACGTAATTTTTATTCACAATCATGCAGTCCATAAAAACAAAGTGGGTTAGTTAAGCAGGAAGTCTTTTGTATTAGAACAACGTACGGAGGAATAAAGCGATGTTCTAGCTATATAGGAAGACAAGATGGATGGGATACATGGTTTCAGCTATATAGGAAGACAATAATAAGGATGGGATACATGGTTTACGAACAGACAGGCACCCCCCGACCCACAAATCATTTCCCAGATGCTCCACCCACCGAGCATCTGGGTGACATTGATATACTTTTTCTGGCGAGTGTGGCAAATTGTGGTTTTTTGTAATTTAGTACTTTAACACTTTGGACGCCATGGATATGGCTTATGCTAAATTGCGAAAATCGCCATTATACCCTCGGCACGCAAGCGCAGCGAGGGTTACAGTACTTGGTCTGTGCGTGCGTCCGTTTGTCACCTGCCACTACAGAGCGATACCAACTGCTTCAGAACCACCAGAGCCTGAAAAGGAATATATCGTTTCCTGAAACGACTGCGTTCGAGAGATATGGCGTGAAAACAAGCGAAAAGGCCAATAGATCGAGCTGGCTTACTGCGACCTGTTCTACTCGCTCTGTGTAGCTAATTTGGAGGCATATGAAGTCACAACGAAAGGCATGTATCGACTCCCGCATGCTATCTACTAGTGTAGCTATCCTGTGTTCAAACTTTGCATGGAGACCGCGGGTAGAAGCCATTAGCGATACCGCGCATGCGTAGTGTGCCGAGGGTTTGCACTGTTTCTTGCGCTTATCAGGGGATGTGTATAGCCTCCACAGTCCAGTTCTCACCACAGGCATTCTACAACTCTTACAACAACCTTCTGCGCCCTTAAGACCCACTAGATGTCACCAAGTCGAGCACATTGCCAACATTGTTTGGCGTTTTCAACTATAAGGACGTAGCTACTTAGCGGCGGTCTGGTATTCTTACGATAGACAACCTCCCCCTGTGATGGACATACAGATCGACGGCACTGTCTGGCGTGCAACGAGCGCTTCGGGCCTTTACAACAATAAGATGACTGACAAAGCGATTCTGAGAATGGTAAAAATGGAGCATTGTAAAACAGGTTAGTGCGTGTGACAGTGAGAGCACTTGTTGCATGCCAGAGCGCACCATCTGTAGCTTTGACATGTCCATCACACGGGGTGGTGGTCTATTGTTGGAGAGCAGAAAATACAGGACAGCCGCTAAGTATATACGTCCACATCATTTACTAATGAAAAGCACTAAAGTGCAAACCCTCTGCGGAAAATGTTCGTAGTTTTGAAAGGTAGGTGGGCTGGGCCATGCGTCGTCAGTTGTCGCCTAACACAGGCTGGAGGATGGGGCTGGAATATTTGGCCGTCAATACATGCAGTCTCGCACCTGCTGCCTTGCATTTGCTTACAACAGCGTCCAAGTGAAAGTCCGTTTCCAAATACTCAGCAACATACGCGCGTGCGCGATGGATCGCTCGCGTCTGATGCACACCCACATACGCGCGTGCGCGCGCGTACGCTTTTTCGCTTGTTTTCACGCCATATCTCTGAAACGCAGTCGTTTCAGGAAAATCGCCACATTAAATCCATCTTCTCGTTGTTCACAACCCGTTGGTGCCACTCATTGGCCGCGTTGTAGCCTGTAGTGCGAGAACTCTCGCGGACGACAGAATGACAGAACGACTACGGTAGCTAATCCTCGCTGCGCATGCGCGCCGAGGGTTAATAATGAATGGCTATAAGAGTGGTGAGAATGATAGAGGAGTATTTCACGATAAAGGAATGTCAGTGTGGTGTAGCTATGGTGCAATTATTCACTGTACTACTGCATCACATAGTACTATCTTGCCTCCTTGCTTTATGTTACCTTCCCTATATTCAACATGTGTAAAATTGGAATTTATCTGTCTTCTTTCCTTCTTTTACTGCACTGCCCACATTTAGGGCCTTTATAAGCATTTTTATGTTGCCAGATGCTGTTTTGCAAACTTGTAATTAAACTCTTATCATGATAATTAAATCAGTGCACTAAGCTTTATTGTTAGAGGACCCACCACAACAAGTTATATTCACAAACACCCATTACTAGAATTTATTGCCTGAGGCTGTTTGTTGTTGCTTCTTTTTATCATGGTACACCAGTGTATTGTTAAAGGACCCACAATGAACAAGTTATAATATATGCACAAACACATTTTACAAGGTTTTATTGCCTGAGGCTGTTTGCTGTTGTTTACCAACTTGTGATGTTTACATTTTATACTAATGATGGGTTGCTGATATTGGCATTAACTAGTTCGCACACTTTTATTGGTCTATATAGCCTGGGGTATTTTCATTGTGTACATGTACACAATGAAAGCACTAAAGTGCAAACCCTCGGCGGAGACTGGAAGTTCTCGCTATAGAGAAGGGTTCCATGTCAAAGCAAAGTTGAGGAAGACCACCTATATATACAGTCTTCTGTGAAAGGCTGCAGACGAGGTAAGCATGCTTCAAAGTGAGGCACATCCTTCGCTGTGCATCTATCATGTTGCATCAGCCATGTTTTAGCTCAACAATAGGCTTGGTATTGGAATATCTTGCGCGTGCGCGAAGAGATTATGCCAGGAACGAAACGCGCGCGCGGAATTGCGCGCTTGTGTTGTACTGCTAATTGATCGGCTGAGCCACTCGTGGTCTCTTACCAGGTCGCTGAGAGTCGGTAACGGGCTAGCTACACTACTAGATAACACGCGAGAGTCAATACACGCCCCTCATTGCAACCTCTGGTGCCTCCAACTTACGCAGAGCAAGCGTACCGAGAGCGCGCAGCTCGTGGATAAGCCCGTGCTAATTTGCATAATTCACGCAGCAGTTTCAGAGAAAACCCCACAAAAGGTTTTGACGTTTATCCGACGCTGAATACGTTTGTGGAGTGATTGATTGCTCGTGAAGGGAGATAGCTCGCGTACAGACAGACACACACACACGACAACTAAAAAAAAAAGGTTCATGAGCTCCAGAGGAGATATATAGACATAGCTACAGGGTTACATGACGAAAAGGAAATATATATATATAATTATATATACACACACGCATTTAGGGGGGAGGTATGGATGAAGGCAGCAATCTTCTCCAAATATAAATGATAGATGGGGAAGTAGATACAAGGATATCCGTTATTTCCTCCACAGATCCCAAATGCAGCTCTTGGTGGGTCTGTAGCTACCAGATGTTCCAGGTAAGTTCGATCTTGTTCGATTGATAGATTACAGTGTGGACAGAGTCTGTCGCCGAATAATGGGCGAGAGAGAGCTTTGAAAAAGGACAAAGCGGCGTTTGTCCCTCTTGCCCCATGATCTAGAGCCATGTCCCATATCTTGAGCCATGACAGCTCGGGAACAGCGGCGATGTGCTTAAGGGACTGATGGGTGCAAAAATCTCTTAGTCGGAACTAATCAAAACTAGTCAATTTAGCGGTATATATGGCGCATGCGCAGTTCGCCAAGGGTTTACTTTAGTGCTATTCATTCTGCAGGGTTTGCTTTAACACAAAGGAATCTTCTTACTTTGTCCTGGAAGATACCTAAGAATGATGGCTGCACAGCCATTGCAACTAATGTTGCTGTTGTGCAGTTCAGGTCTACTAACTACTGTCCAACAAAGGTAGCTAAGGCACAGAAGTATCAATTAACTGCACTGAAACAAAATTATTTCACTCAGCAGCATGTGCACATACACGGGATCTACAGTGGAGAGCTACTCATTCTATGTGCAGAGTATAGCTTCAGCTCCTCATAATTATGACTGTGGTATCTTTGGAGCCTGGTGCTACCGGTAAGAAAACACTACCCCCTCCTACACTAACTATGCTATTATCTCGTGCTGGAGTAGTGCTTACAGTGAGTAAATTCGAATAAACTCCCTATCATAGCCTTATACACATCATGATGGTAGGTATTATACCTTGCCCATCCCAGCAAGTACTACCATACTTAGTACTAGACAGTTTGAAGCATTCAACACGCAATAAACTCTAAAGCAATCATCTAAACTTATGTTTCATGATGCCGTAACATTTTAATTCG